CCCCAAAGAGCTTGCAACTGCACAAGTAACAACAGAGAGCTAAAAAGAAGCGGTAAAAGTCAAAGAACTGAAACCCTCTTTCTTTGTATGTTGTTACTTTCTAGTAACTCTTCTAATCTTCGGCACTTATTTGGCATTATTGTGTTGCAAGTACGTAATACTCTTACTGCAACTGAACTAATAAGAACAATAGAGAGAAATACAAACTCCTTTTCTTTGTCACTCTGCTTCTGTCTCTATCTTTCTGTGTCTCTGCCTTTATCTATATCAACGTCTCCTTCTCTTTCTGTTTCTCTGTCTCTGTTTCTGTTTCTCTGTCTGTCTAGCTTCTGGTCTCCCTCATAAATCAATAAAGTTTATCTTATCGATCTTAATTGTCTGTCTGTCTGTCTGTTTGTCTGTCTGTCTGTCTGTCTGTGTCTGTCTGTCTGTCTGTCTGTCTGTCTGTCTGTCTGTCTGTCTGTCTGGCTATATCCCCTCTCTTACTCTTGTCGTCTTTTCTCTTCATTGAATCTTCTTTTCTCTCTTTCAGAGTTGCCCATCCACTTCCATTCATTTTCTATCAAGAAATCAGAAGAATAAATAAGCTGAAATGATTCCAGAAAAGCTTGTTTACATTGTCATCCCTAGCAGCAGTCGTAATGAGACAGACAATCTGCAAGATAAAAACAAGAAAAGTGCAGAACAAACAAGCAAAAACCCATCTAGCTGATCAACGAGCTGGGCCAGACAGAATGGTAAACAAAATTCTCATAACGCTAAGAGCATGACTTTTTGTGGTAATAATATGACTAACAACGAGAGCATGCTGTTTCTCTTTCAAATGACTCGCGATCATTTGTTTGAAAGAAACCATTGTGTTGTTGTCTTTGGTTGCATCGCTATCACAAAGGATAGGACCTTCAACCGGCTGGAAAAAAGTAAACAAAACAAAACAACCGAACATAACAAAGAACAACGTGCTCGTTTGCACTTTTTCAGAAAGAAACCATAACGAGAGATTATATAACACTCATTCAGCATTCTTCTCGTGGTTGCAACCACTTTGGTGCAACTGCAGGGGGCAAAGGTATTGGGAAGATATTTTAAAGCTCCATTTTAAACCTCAAAGTCAAACAATAATTACAATATTTGGTAAATATATAAGAAATTACCCGTAGATCAGTTTTCGAAAACACCTGTTCGCGATACAAGTTCTTTTATTCGCCTTCTGTTTACAACCTCTCTTCTGCTTCAAAGTAGACTCACCCATTGTTATTTGTCCCGTGCATCTATCGTCTTAACTTCCCTACCTACCCCCCTTCCCACACCCCTTTCCACACCCACACCCATTCCCACTCCCACATTCACCCCCACCCTTAGGCCATCTCTCACATGTATAAAAGCCCGGCGGTCCCAGCCAGTCTTTACACCGCTGAGGTCGTCGAGACGTTCTGAACGTCGAACCACTGGTAGGTCCTCAAGATGGTGGGTTACCTGGGTCAAGCGCTGATGGCTTTGCTTCTGGTGAGTCCATTTTCTGTTTGTTAACTGTGTGTCTGATTGTTTGGTCACTTTGCTTTTTTCCTTTTTTAAAAGTTTCTAATTCTCTGCCTCTCTTGAGCCGTGAGGGGGGATTCAGTTCTCTATGGCAAGTCTCGGTCTGTAGGTCTATCTGACGGATTGTTGTTTGGTCGTCTGCATGTTTAGAATTTTGCTGGAGAGTCTGGAAGCCAAAACATTCAATATAAATAAAAGTCACGTCCCCGAGACACGTTTCTTGTGACTGTATTTCAGTGTTTGTCGGTTTGACTGTCTGTGTATCTGTATTTATATTCTTCAGCTTCTGTGTACCCTAGCTAAAGCGGTAAATGACTGTAAAAATCTTCATCCCTTAGTGCTGTTAAGTTCTGCACACATGGCAGCTTTATCTACATAGAACGTCTTTATGATATCTGCGCTTCTGAAGAGTCAACATTCTTTTCTCTTTTCGTCTGTAAGTCTCATGCACGCTCAGTTTCTCTCTCTCTCTGTCTCTCTCTCTCTCTCTCTCTCTCTCTCTCTCTCTCTCTCTCTCTCCCTCCCCCTCTCTCTCTCCGGTTTCAAGTCTATTAGCTGACTTTTACATAATAATTTCTTTTTTTTTCTACCATAAAAAAATATTGGCCGTAAGTCTCGCGAGCGTGCTTGTGTCCCGGTGTATGTCCCTGTTCCGCTTAAGTGTGTATTGTTGGAAAGCTCTTAAATTGTTCTAAGACCGAAAGCAATATTCTCCAGGAGAGAGAAAAAATAAACTGTTTGATATTTTGAACAGTTGCACCTACATTACGTGTATCTTCTTGATGTTTTTCAACACTTAAAAATGTGATTTCTCGAGCACATGCAACTGATACCACGCATTATGAAACTGCTATTGCCCCCCCCCCCCCCAATCCTGTATTTTTGTAAAGGAGTCCATCTGTCAAACAAGTTCGCCTGTCAGTCTCCGCCCGGATCTATCGGAGGCTAGCTTACAATTTTTCCCTTTTAGCACATCGGTACCTCCACCCCCCTCCTCAATCACTCTTTCTCTCTCTCTCTCTCTCTCTCTCTCTCTCTCTCTCTCTCTCTCTCTCTCTCTCTCTCTCTCTCTCTCTCTCTCTCTACCTGTCCCCATCCAAACTCCTCTCTTTCGTCTTCTCCATGTACCGTTCTGGCCAGTGAGAGGCTACAGATTAAAGACTTGTTCATGACGTTCGAGTGTACAGTTCTCATCGACAGAAACAGTCTTTTTTAGCCTTTACTGACGAGTTAGCACTCTTTCAAAGTTCAGCCTTTTTTCTATACAGTCAAACCTGATCTAACAGCTATCTGTCCAAGACAATCACCAGTACAAATGTCCACTTCCCAGTTCCCTTCTTTATTACAAACATCACAATGATAGTGTCCAAGACATCCACCTGTCTAAGACATTCACTTTTCTCCTAGACAATGGATGACCGTCTTGGACAATTTCATATCAGTCCAAAATTAGTTTCATGCCTCATACAATATAAACATGATTCTTACCACAGCTGGCTTTAAGCAACGCTGCCCTAGTGAGGAAAAGTGTTGATCAGTTGACGTCTGAAGAAATTCTCAACCTTCAGAAGTCTCTTCGTGAAGTTAATGACGACACTTCCAACCTCGGCTATGCGGCAATCGCTTCGTACCACGGCTATCCGACACAGTGTAAAGATGGCGACCGTGATATAGCTTGTTGTCTCCATGGCAGTCCAGTGTTCCCACAGTGGCACAGGCTCTACGTGGTACAGATGGAACAGGCGCTCAAAGCCAAAGGTATGTACAATTAAACATACAGTACTGTATGACCTTTTGCTTATTAGAAGATGCTTTCACAGCAGTACGTATGGTATAGCTTTGCTTAGGCGTTAGATATAGAGAAAGTAGATTGCCCAAGTACTACTTCCCTTCCTTCAGACATCGACTTCTTTGATGTACTCAAAAGTAGATGCATGATCATTACTTATGGAATCAAAGAATGTTGAAAGGCTGTCTTACTTTTTTGGGTGTTATGGGGATATTTTTTGGTCTGGAAATTTTTAAAAAGTATTTTGTTTTCTACCCCGGTACACGGAACCTAAAGTCCTATTGTTCTGTAACTTTCAATCACCTACGGATGCGCAACATACACACGGGTCCTCCGAGATTTTTTGTTCTTATCCGAGGTCTTAAGATCAAGGGTGTGGAGAGAACAAGATTGAGTGAGTGAATCAGCGAGAGAGATATTGGAAAAAATGGGATAGAGAGAAAATTTTAAAAGAGGATGAAGAAGAAGTAGAACGAGTAGTGGAAGAAGAGAGCATTGTATTGCATCCCCTTGTTAGAGAGACATACGTTTTGTTTCTGTGTTATCTCCACGTATACAAAATGTAGAAAAAAGAGTGGTACAATATCATTATTCCCACAGCTCACGATGTTTGGCCTCCATACAACTTCTCGTTTCCTTCCCAGGTCTGAGTATCGGTGTTCCGTACTGGGACTGGACTCGACCCCTCAACCATCTGCCCGAGCTAGTGAGCCAACAGGTCTTCATCGACAGTGAGGGCGGGAAAGCCCGGGGAAACGTCTGGTACCAGGGAGACATCAACATAGACGGTCAAGTGGTTCACACGGCGAGAGCTGTGGACGACAGGCTCTTCCAGCAGGTCAGGAAGTTACATAAGTTAAAGGGCAAATCGGCCTGTAATTAGCACGGAAAACTGAGCGACAATTCACATTCTCAAGAACAGCATGCACAAACTGTATTTCTTAACCTTTGTGGAATGCTTCCTCTTGACCTCGGTAGTCTTGGTGCCATAGTAATAATATATTCATCATGAGCGTATGATGACTTTTACCAACTTAGAAACGTGAGAAATTTCATTGTTAGCCACCACAGGTAGACTTCAACATGATGACTGATTTGCATTTAGAAATGTAGCTGTTTTTACACCTTCATCGACACAATTTAGAACATTTAGAAGGCGGATTTCGACCCTATCTGTCAGGGCCAACCCTGGCTGAGAGGGATACAACATCCCAGCAGAAAGACCCAGACACTAGGTAAAAACTCTCCCCACTCGCGAATCGATCTCCGGTCTTTTCGTGCAAGAGCTACACCACAGACGTCGGTGACACGAATGTGAAATAAGCCAAAGAGTCTAGTAGGTCTTTAACTCCACCAGCAGTAAAAGGCTTTAAAACGCAATGAACATCTTACTTTCTAACTTAGACATGTGTGTGACTTGAAAAGACTAGGTTAATATCATAGTCTTTTTCAGAACACTCGAGCTGAGAAATATGTAGCTCATACACTGCCATTGTGACCCAAATGTACTGAAGGAGTTCAATAAAAGTGGTTTAAAACATTATGATATCTTTTCCATAGGTGGCTCCTGGGGAAAATACCCAGTTGTTCGAAATGGTTCTGAACGCTCTCGAGTACGAGAACTACTGCCAGTTTGAGGTCCAGTTTGAGGTGGCTCACAACACCATTCACTACCTGGTGGGAGGACGTCACAAGTACTCCATGTCCCATCTAGAGTACACTTCCTACGATCCCATCTTCTTCCTGCACCACTCCAATGTGGACAGGATCCTGGCCGTAAAACTTGCACTTCTTGGCCCCGGAGCACCCCAGAGTAAGTACAAACAAGCTGTGACCACTTGCGTGAGGCAAGAAGCAAAGTGAAAATGACGGAAATTTTGAAATTGGGAATTATTTTGTTTAAAGGAAATAACCTCATTTGTGAATCCACTCATTGTTTTTGCAATTAGTTGAGGTAGACACATTGTAACTAGATATATGAACCCGAAACAACACACTGCATCGGTGTCAAAGAAAGATGATGCCAAAAAGAACGCGAAAAACTACTAACATCACTTGGATTAGAACGTCACACTCCCACTTTGTTTTTGTTTGACAAACGTTGAAAACAGCTGCCAATCTCTGCAGGCTCTTTTCCCAGTAAAGGTCTCAACATGAGTTTCAAAGCTAGTATCTGATAATAACTTTTAACGTAGTTCATTATCTCTCGATTACATTCTAGACCAGGCATGGGCACACTAGGACCCACATGCCAAATCCGGACATGAGCAGTTTCAGTCTGGCCTGGGAATCGACCCAGTGATTTGTTATGAATGTAGCTGTGGTCAGTTGATAACTAATAGAAACACAAGTGCCCGTCTTAAAAATCGAAAACCAATAGTTTACCATCTGACATCTCATCGCATGAAAATGTCACCGAGTGACACTTGCTGCAGTGTCAGTTTTAGTCTCACTTTTGGGACCTTGGATATTTCAACCGATTTCATTCAATTTTCTCTCGCTTTTGCCCCGAGATATTCGGAATTGCTTAACTCTTTGAGGACGTAGCAGATACATAATTATTATGTCTGACCAACAGAAGACCAAAGGTTATGTTGCAGCACATTTCGAGCTATCGTACACGCATAAGAAAGACGAATATATGAACATATTTCCTAGTATGCAGGTTGTAGCTGGCTTTATCAAGTTTCAGATACAGAAAACAGAATTGCAAACGTGTGTATGAATAAAAAAGTCATATCTCTTTTTAAAGTATCCCCTCCCCCCACCCCCCCAAAAAACCCAACGACAACAAAAAACCAGCGAGTCTTCAAAGAGTTAACCCTGCCCGGTAGATGGACACGTTTACCTTTTTCTGTTCTAGAGTAAGGCTTATTATAGGTACAGACTTGCTTTTTACCGTTGGTATTTGAGAACGTTAATTTATGGCTTGGCTACAATATTTTACTTCACAGAAGGAGGAGTCGAATTCTGTGATCTGAAAAATTCCATGACTCCCATGGCACCTTTTAGCTGGGACTCGAACCCCATTGCTCTGACCCGCGACCACTCCTTGCCTCCTCAGACACTGGCGCATTCCACCTTTGGCTACAGGTAAGCGCGTGTTTATGAAGAAATGCTTCCTATTGCTCACGCACCATTGATCAGAAGATGAAAGTGATATAAACTTATTTCGTGAATTTCTGTCTATAAATGTTGATAAAAGTGCAGAATACATGTAGATCTAAAAGAAACATATATTTTTATAGAATTCGTTTTTCTGTTAGCTTACAACAGAAAGAGAAACAAAAAAGTAATACCCTGCGGAGGTATGAAACAAATGGAATATACCCTGGTATTTAAGAGATATAATACCAAGCATAAATGAGCACTCACCAGGTTTCACAAAATTGATATGTAAGCCGAAGATTATATATTACAAGATGGTTCACAACTGTATTTAAAACAAATGTACTTAATCCCCCCCCCCACCCCCCCAAAAAAAACAACAACAACAACCAAACAAATAAACAAACAAAAAAACATAAAAAGCGTTTTGGAAAAAAGCAGCAGGCCTAAATAATTCCAAATTTATTTCAGCTACGACGATCTTTCCTTGAACGGATATTCCGTGGAGGAGATCAGAGCACTTCTGAAGGAGAGACAAACGTACGACCGCGCTTTTGCCAACTTCCGTCTCTTCGGAATTGGAAGTTCCGCTAACGTCAGAGTGGAGGTATAAGTGTTTGCTCTGGGCTTCGGGCTATAAATCGGCATTTTTTTCTCTGTCTGTTTGTCTGTCTCCCCATCTCTCTCCCCCCTCTCTCTCTGAGTCTGTCTCTCTGTCTCTGTCACTTTCTCTCTTTGTCTATCCTTGTCTCTCTGTCTCTGTCTCTCCGTGTCTGTCTGTCTGTCTGTCTGTCTGTCTGTCTGTCTGTCTGTCTGTCTGTCTGTCTCTCCCTCTCTCTTCGTAAACACATAACAATGTATGCATACGTATGCATATGCGTATGGGTATATGTAAGTGTGTGTGTGTGTGTGTGTGTGTGTGTGTGTGTGTGTGTGTGTGTATGTGTGTGTGTGTGTGTGTGTGTGTGTGTGTGTGTGTGTGTGTTTGGTCTGTGTGGGTTAGTTTGTCGTTTGTCAATTATCCATTAACTTCTTGTTTCTAGAATGGAACCACAGCGTCGAATGGCACAGAGGGGATTTAGGAGCACACATTTACACTTTCGCAGTTCTATGAACTTAAAGATCTATTCAAGTGTTTTTGTGGTTAATGCCTTTCTTTTCCTTGAATAATGTATATAACTTTAACAACTGTTTTATTTGAGAAAAGAGCCGACGTGTTATTTACTTAGTTGATCAAATTATAAACTAACTACTAATCGTAATCTTTCAGGTTTGTGTGCCCTCCAGTGACAAACTGACTGGTGATTATTGTGAATTTGCCGGAGATTTCTTCATCTTGGGCGGTGCCATCGAGATGGCTTGGGCATTCATATGGCCTTACTACTTCGAAATCACTAAGACGGTGCAAAATCTGGGTGTTGCTTTGGACGGTAACTACAATGTCCAGGCGCGTATCTTCAGCGTCAACGGCACAGAACTGCCCAGCAATCTCATCCCCAGCCCTTCTGTGTCCTTCAGGCCCGCAGTCGGCAAGACTGACCGTAAGTGGCTTATTACTTAGTTGTGGATATTTTACTTTGTACGCGTGTGCGCATGCGAACATGTATGTTTGTGTTTGTTTGTTTGTGTGTGTGTGTGTTTTTTGTGTGTGTAATAGTGTGAATTTTTGTTTGTGTGTGAGTGTGTGTGTGTGTGTGTGTGTGTGTGTGTGTGTGTGTGTGTGTGTGTGTGTGTGTGTGTGTGTGTGTGTATGTTTGTGTGTATGTGTGAGAGTTATTTTCCCTTCTTGATAATAAAGAGGGTCTGATAAAAAAAGGTGGGGGGGGGGTAGAGGGGTAGAATGGAAAGTGGGAACAAGAAAGGGGCCGAGAAATGGATGAGAACAGAATTCTTCCCATTATTCTTGTTATTTCACTTCGTAGTTTCAAACTGTTGAAGCTGTTTTCATTACAGTTACTGAGTCATGGTAATTATCAAAAGAAACACGACCATGAATTGATTATTTCAGTTTTTTACACGTACCGTAAAACTTTTTGTATGTAAAAATACTTCTTGGTCTTGTTATCACTCTTGCTCGTTACACCGTTGTTTTTATTACTGTTGTTATTGTTATTGTTTTGTTGTTGCTGCTGTTGTTGTTATTGTTGTTGTTATTGTTATTGTTGTTATCGTCGCCGTTGTTGATATAGTTGTTGAAGTCACATTAACATTAGTAAATAATTCAGGATCAGCGCAGAGACTTGCAACTTTTGCTTTAACTTCGTTCCGCTTTCACTTAAGCAACTTACATTTTATTTGTTTATTCATTACCGTTCCACAGCTCCCATGGCGCACGGCGAGTCAGAACACGGGCATGAGGTCCACGACGGGGTGTCCATCCGTAAAGACATCGACACTCTGACCAGGGAAGAGGTCAACGACCTTAGACAGGCCCTAACGAAGTTCCAGGTACGTATATTCCTAAACAACACTCATTCAGCTTAGCTCAGCGACAGCAGAGGAAACAAGAACAGCAGTAACAAAAGCAATAGCGTAAAGTCAGACCACAATTTTGAATTAAGAATTAACAAAAATTAAATCTCAGCTCCCTAATCTGTATTATCTGTTGCATGTGTTCAAGAAATATTTTGCCGAAATTCGAATTTTAAATTTTGAAAAAAAAGCAAGAAAACATACAAGACGTAGGAAAAATTGTCAAAAGAATGAAACAGTTCTTTCTCTCTTATGCAAAATATGCTTTCTGGCTTGACATGTAATAAATATGAACAGCTTGGGAACAAGAAGCATCATGATTATCCTCAACAACATCAGTAACGATAGGGTTTAGCTTGTAGCAGTTCAAAACTTTAATTGTCTCATAATGTGTACCTTCACTTAACATAACCGATTGAACTAAGGTGCATGTCTAAAGAGGAAAGCGAAGAGAAATCAAGATCCGGTTGTCCATCTGTCCTCAGAATGACGCCAGCGTGGACGGCTACCAGGCCACAGCAGAGTTCCACGGAGACCCGGGCAAATGTCCTTACCCCAACGCCAAGAACCGACTGGCCTGTTGTATCCACGGCATGCCCACCTTCCCTCACTGGCACAGGCTCTTTGTCGTACAGGTGAGAGAAATATCATCATCATCATCATCATCATCATCATCATCATCATCATCATCATCATCAT